AGGGCCCATCAGTGAGGGTGTTCAAGGAATGATTGGACAACCACATGTTGGGGATCATATGAGTGGAGCTGGCTGGAGCTGGGGGTCAGACTAGATGGCCTGTTTGTTTCTATGTTTTCTATGTTTGTAAAAAGAGAACTGAAACTGAAGCTATACAGTTCATATAGCATTTTAATATGAGTGGATCGCAAGTATCCAGAGAGCCGTTTGAGCTGGGGTGGGATAGAAATCTAATAAATAAGCTAATAGATACCTGTTTTCAGTGTAAACATCTGTAACATTTTTACTCTTTAAAAGTAGGCTCTTAATGTATTGACATTTTTGTCGCTTATTTCCCTTTAGCTGATTGATGGAAATATTGAGTTCAGTGGGGATCATTCTAAGATACATGTGTATAGCATTGTAAAGCAACATGTTGAAAAATTTGTTTAAAATGTAATTTATTTAGAAAAACTGAATTGAGAATTATTAAGGGCAGAATTCAACAGGCAGTTGCTCTCCTGCTGATTTCTTTTTACTCCACTGATTCTCTTGTGCAAGTGGTGGGTCCCATTAATTCCCTTGTGCAAATGGGAACCACTGTTTATGTAAGGGAGATTTAGTGCTTCTTGAAATGAGAGAAACACTTGTTTGTGGAAAGAGGCAGGTTAATGGAGCTCCCTTAGGGCAATGAAATGGAGTGGGGGCATAAGTTTGAGTGTTCCTGGTTCTGCCTTCGATTGCTTGTAAAATCCAATTTTATGAAGAGTTTATGGAAAACATGTTAAAAATCAACTTAATGTGTATTTGTTTTATTTATATTTTTAAAAAGTATAACTTGTATTTTTAAAAAATCAACACAGACCAGCATGCAGCATAAAGTATATGAAGAGCCATATATAACATTGCAAAGCAGCAACGTAACAAAACCTACTACAAAACATCCATGCACTAAAATAAAGAAAGCCAAGGGAATAATCATTCTGGAATAACCATGCTTTGGCCAGCTATTTAACAGAATAAAATATTAGGGCCTGACAAACCTCCCTCATGTGGGCTTCTTGCAAAGTGTCACAGCCATAAAGGCCCTGCTCTTAGTAATTGTTTACCTCATGACAGACAGCTCTGCGGCTGGGGGTAAAGATCCTGGAGGGATGCAAATCACAATGCTCTGTTCCTTAATGACTGGATTGACTCTTGAAATTCTAGCTATTAAGGGACAGTTTTGTGATGTGCGCTGATCCGTCTTTTGGGTTTCATCTGATCTTGTCACTATGGAGAGAAATTATGCACAAACTGAAAGATCCTGTAGTTATTTGAAAGTGGAATCTTCCCTACCTTTGCAGATTGAAGTCTTTCAGAGTTATGCTAAATATGGCAGTGCATTATTATTATTAGAACATTTCTATGCCGCTCTCCCCAAAGTTCTGCAAAGTCTCCCTCTAACTGTTGAAACTTCACTACATGCTTTTTCAAGTTTATCTTCACAAACAAAAGGGAAAAAGACTTGCTGAAATTTATGGATGTTAAATTTACTGATCCTGGGCATGCAGGCTGCACACTGTGCATATTACATTATCAGATGATGCATTTAGCCCTGTAACATGAAGATAATAAAATGCTAAAGCATATAACCGAAAACTGAATGCTTCTTTAGTATTTTGACTGCATTGATAATCAGTGTATGTGTCTGCTTGTCAGTTTTGAAATATAGAAAAATCTATGCCTCAGGAGAAGGAAAATTGTTGACCTTTACTCCTCTGTAACATATATGTTCCAGTTTTTAATTACATTTTTTAAAACAAGTAAAAATAATTTTGGTAATATTTGTAGAGAAGATCTGTGTAAGCCTGGCACCTTCAGTTACCTTATAATCTAAATTCCTGCTTGCAATTAAACTGTTGTGCTCTGATTGTTTTTAGTTGGGGATTTAAACAGCATAGGACTGCCTCTTTACCCATGATAGGTCTTCTTTTATAAAGCCTAGAGAATGGCTCCCATTCTCATTCATTTGTGGGTCTCTGGTCTCTATATTCTAGAATTCATTGTTTTGTTGGGAAAATTTGGATAAATCCTGTCAGAAAAGCATTGTTTCTGTGTGCTTTTGCATTGTGGAATCAATCCTGTACTCCTTCTCAAACCAAGTTAAGTCACTGTTTAAAATGGCATTCCTCCCCTTCTCTCACCTTTAGCTGTAGGCTACAGTAGACAGGCCATTTAGTCCAAATATACATTATATACCTTCACAATGATTAAATAATCATTGTTGGAATTCACAGTTTACCAGGAAGTATCGTTTGCTAGCCCAGAGGGCTCCATGTGCCCTGGCCATTCAGAAAGGTGTGGATGCATTGCTTAGGGTCTGAATCTAGATGAGCTTATGAGTTCATGAATAGTTTCTCAGCAGCTTGAATTAGCATGTCTAAGCAGACCTGGAGATAGGTTCAAGTTACTCAACTGAAGTGTCAATACACTGCAATTAGAAATATTATAATCTCATTGTCACTGTATGATTGACTGACATTCTTTTATCTGTTCTGTATGTGATGACCTCAGAATCTTTTTGTAATGTCTGCATTCTGTCATCAATTGCTCTGTACCTGTGTACATGACTGGGAGGGCATAAAATACCGTGTAGTGGTATTGAAACTTCGCAGCAAGTTCACCTCTGCTTGCACGGTAATGCATTATCGTGAGTCTACTGCGGGAACCTGGGCCAAACAATAAAGCCACAGATGGTCTGGATGCTTGATCTTTCCCACGAACCCGAGTTTTATTTCCTCCTCACAAATTGAAATTCTGGGATTTTCTGACAGTTTTCCTTGCTCTGCATCTTGTAGGTAATCCTGAATTTGGGAACTGCAGAGAATTCCTTACAGCCCTCCTTTTTCATTATAGTTGCTTGACTTGTTAGTTTCTAATTTCATAATTTAAAACTGAGCAGAGTTGTAAATAAGGATAATATATTAGTATCTATGGATTTTAGAATCTATAAATTAGCTTAACAAGATTATCCCCCTACCTTCCCTTGGGACAACCTGGAAATTTACCAGAATATGTTACTGGGAATAAACACACACACACACACACACACACACACACACCATTAAATTAAGTCTTTTATTTTTATGTATCAGTGTATGCACACACCCATAGACATTAGATATTTACTTTAAAAGAAACTTTTAGAATGAGGTGCTCTGCTAGTGTCCAGAGTGAGGTTTTGTTTTATTTGTTTTTTTGAAAATTCTCGATTATGTAGTCATTTCCACTGGAAAAAAATAGCCAGTTTCTTAACACCCCCAAAAAGATTTAAGTTAGCATGTTTTAAAATTTGTATTTAGTATACAACATAGCTTAAAATAAGTACTCCATGTTAATGTTGTTCCAATATATCACAAGTATTTGATAAAAATTAAAGCATACTGAGTATGTTGAGAGTGGAGCCAGTTGGAGCCAGGGTTCAGACTAGATGGCCCAGGAGACCCCTTCTGACTCACTCTGTTTCTCTGTTTCTTTGTTTCTATCTTCTGTCCCAAGGCCCTGGGAAACGTGCCAGTCGCATATACAACCCTTCTCATCCGCCGCCGATAAGTCTCTTCGGAAACATTCAAAATTCTTAGAATGGCCGCCCTAACTAAATCATATTGGCCTGCCGCTTCTGGGGTAAGGGTATCCACTGCTTCTTGTGCAGGACCCGTGAGGCAAGGCGTCAGGATGAGGGCCCACTGGTCTTTGGGCCACTTGGCAGCCAGACAACCCTTTCAAACGTATTTAGAAAGGCTTCAGGGTCATCTTCTGCAGTCATCTTAGCGATCCATATATGACCTGGGCCTTTTCCTCTTGTCTGCCCGACTAGGGTTTTGGGCCCGACTAGGGTTTTGGCTTGAAGGCCTTGTAGTCCTCCCAGCACTTGCTGAAGCAAGGAACTTTGGTTCTGGAGCTGGGCATTGAAAACTTGCTTCCATGAGTTGCATCGGTTGTGCTGCTAATTGCTGCAACAGGCGCTGCTGCTCCTGAGCTTGGAGCCTTTGCTGCTCAGCCCACCAAGCCATCCAGGAGCCAGCTGGGGTGGGGGGGGAGGGATGACCTGTGCCCCCCCCATGCCACCCTGCCCCCATTCTTCACCACTGAGACTGTATCAGGAGGGAGGGGCAAGCTAAAGATGCCTCATTCTTGTTTTTCTATGAAGAGTGACACAAGGAAGGCAGTACACTCACCAGGCCTTTACTCTTCGGTTACACTTCTCACCAGTTTGCTTCCCGCAGTGCCTAAGCCCTTGCCTACTTTGGCTCCCTTCCCTCCTGTCGCTTTGGCAATGAACGGTGTCGCCCCAGCAGTAATGCCTCCAGGTCTCTCCTCTCTTTTTGCACCAGCCTGCCTGTCAGCAAAGACCGTGCTAACTCTTCCCAAACAACACACACATCTTTCCTTTCGCCCCCTCTTCCATCTCTCTCTGCCTCTCTCCTCCTCCACTTTCCCTTCCTCTGCTTCCTTTTTATAACCCCTTCTCGCACGCCACTCCACCCAACCCAGTTGTTCCTCCCTTGGCTGGCAATCCCCCACAGCTGCGCACTCATCCACGTCTCCTGGCTGTTGTCTTCTCGTGAGTTGCTCTCCCCAAACAGATTCCCAGCCATGCCCTGTTGTCTTCGGCCCTGCTCCATTGAAGGTCCCAGGAAAATGGGTGAGCCCCTCTGCCGCCTCACACCCATTCATATGCTTCTAGTGCTCAAGGGATGGGGGTGAAGAGAGGCAACACCACACCATGCCTCAAATATGTGATTTTTTTGTGTCCCGGGTTTTATATTTCCCTGGTGTTGTGCCATCAAGTTAGCCAGAATACTGTATTGAGGTTGCTGTTGCTGCTATTGCATGCTACCAACTTGACTTATGGCAACTCTGTGAATAATGCCCACCAAAATGACCCATCCTTGATTGCCCTGCTCAGCTCCTGTAAACTCAAGGACAGGGGTTCTTTGTGGACTTGAACTATCTTATTCTTGGTCTTCCCCACCTACCTTCAAATTTTCCTAGTACTATTGTCTTCTCCAGTGAGTCTTGACTCGTCATGATCTTGCTAAAATATGATACTATCAGTTTTGTCATTTTACTTCCAGGAAAATTTCTGGCTTGATTTGATCTAGGATTCACTTGTTCATCTTACTGTCAGTCCAGGATATTTGCCAAGTCCTTCTCCAAAACCCTGTTTCAAACAAATCAATTTTCTTCCTGTCAGCTTTCTTCACTGTTCAGCTTTCAGCTAAACCAAGTGCCAATGAGGTTCAGTCAGGTGGAGATTCGTTCAGTTTCTTTATTCAGCTGAGCAAAGCAACCGGGTGTCTGCTCCCTACACGCAGGCAGGAAGCAACACACACACATTTCTCCTTTTCCTCACTGTTTCCCACTTAACCTCGCCCCCATTGTTCCCTCACCCAATCCCCTCTCAGGGTCTGCCTGACCCTTTACCCAATCCCCTTGCGGGGTCTGCATGTCCACTGCATGCCTGGCCTCCTGCAGGTTCTTATCTACGTCCAATCCCCTCACAGGGGGAGCATGATCACTGCTTGCCAGTCTGTGCCTGGGGAGTCTCACTCACTGCCTCTTATCAACATTCTTTTGCCTTCCCTTTTTCCTCTCCAAAGCAATCAGTTATACAAAAAGCAAATGGCGTTTGTTAGGCTGACCAAGCTCCTATGCAAGCGGCTGTTTACAAAAGCAAATAGCGTTAGTTAAGCTAAAAGCAAATAACATTAGTTAAGCTAATCAGGCTCCTTCAATACATAGTGGTTGGAAATACAATAATGTGGATGATCTTGGCTCTGGTCTCCACTAAAATGCCCTTACACATGACTGTTGATACTAACCAACAGGCAAGACCTAGTGGGTAAGATGGCAGCTACAGGCACTCTGGGGGAAAGTGACAGTGCCATGCTTGCATTTTCAATTATGAAGGAAGCAAAAGCCAAATGTAGCCAAACATGTACCCTGGATTTCAACTTTCAAAAGTCAAAACAATAAGCAAAGGGATAAACAAAGTCCCATGGAAAGTGACTGTAAATAGACAAGAAGTCCAAGATGGGTGAGAAATCTTTACAAAAGACAATCTAAGAACAAACAGTTCGAACCAGGAAAAAGTATAGAAGACAACGAAGTAAACCCATGTGGCTTCACAAAAACTACAAGATAATCTGATAACAAAAAAGAATATGTACAGGAAGTGGAAGGAAGACCAGGCAACAAAGGAAGAATGTGTAGATAGCACAGAATTGCAGGGATGGAGTCAGGAAGGCTAAAGCTAGGAATGAACTGAGATTAGCAAGGGCAATAAAAAAGCCTTCTTCAGATATGTCCAAAGTAAAAGACAAATAAAAGTAAAGGGAGTTAAACTACTCAAAGTGGATGGTAAAATAATAACTGATGACAAAGAAAAGGCAGAAGTGCTCAGTTCTTTGGCTCAGTTTTCTCCTAAAAGGTCTATGAGCTTTCTAATGGAGATGGAGTACAAGCTAAAGGTGACAGATGGCAGCTCAAGATTGACAGACAGATGGTCAAGGACCATCTAGTTGGATTAAATTAGCTCAGATCTCCAGAGCCTGATGAACTCTATCACAGAGTCATAAAGAAGCTAGCAGAAGAACTCTCAGAACCACTGGTTATTGTCTTGGAGAATTCATGGAACACAGGGGAAGTGCCAGAGGACTAAAGAAGGATTAACACTGTCCCTATCTTGAAGAAAGGGGGAAAAGATGAACCAGGAAAATACAGACCAGTCAGTCTGACATCAATCCCTGGAAAAATTCTGGAGCAGACAATAAAACAGTCTGCAAACATCTTGAAAACAAAGCAGTGATTACTAGACGCCAACAAGGATTTCTCAAAAACAATTCCTTCCAGACAAATCTAATTTCATTTTTTTGACTGGGTAATCTCCTAGATGGACTGTGGGAATGCTGTGGACATAATCTATCTTGACTTCAGCAAAGCTTTTGGCAAACTGACCCATGACATTCTGATTAACAAACTAGTGAAAAGTGGGCTAGATGGAACTATGATTAAGCAGATCCATAGAATCAGACTCGAAGAGTGCTCATCGATGGCACATTCTTAAGCTGGGGAGAGGTAACAAGTGGAGTACTGCAAGGTTCGGTTCTGGCAGTACTGCGTCCTGTTCTGAGCACTACAATTTTTAAAAGAGGCAGACAAGCTGGAAAGGGTTCAGAGGAGGACAGCAAGGATGGTCTGAGAACGGGAAACAAAGCCTAGGAAGAGAGACTGAAAGAACTGGGCATGACAATTTTTTTACCTTGAAAACCTTATTTTAACTTTATTTTTATATATATTTGATTTACATCCTGCTTTTTCTTATAACAAAATTAAAGGCTTACATCATGTTCCTCCTGCTCTCAATCTTATTCCCACAAGAACAGCAACCCTGTGAAGTAGGCTGGGCTGAGAGTCTGTGACTGGCCCAAAGTCACCCAGTTGGCTCCATGGCTGAGTGGGACTAGAACCCAGATTGTAAAGTCATCTATGCTAGAACTGAATTATGCTAAAGAAAATACATGTATATTTGTAAAAATTGCCTGAGTCCTAGTCCCACATTTTTAACCACTGCACCACACTGACTTATGATGAAATAACCCCAAAGGAAACAAGAGATAATGCCAGAAGATAAGACTCCCAGACTGGAAGGCATTCAGTCAAGGACTAAGGAAGAGGAAAGGACAAATGCAAATCCTGCTGTCACTAATGATGTGACTAGATCAAGACTGAAAGGAAGTATAGTGGGTGACACTATACAAGAGAAAGGACAATCCATTGCTACATGACATATAAAACAGAAACACTGCACTGTGGGAAAGGTAATTTTTTTATTTCCTATCACAGCAGAATATCGGAAGGGACTTGTAAGCATGCTGAATTCATTGAGATACAGTTTTCATTTATCTATAAACAATGGGCTATCAGATCATAAAGCCCCAGTTGCTCAAAAATTATTTTGGAAAAACTTGGTAAAACACAGAAAAGAAATGGACAAAATATTATTCAAATATAATACTATAACTGCATATTATGCTTGTTATGAGCTGTAAAGTCATCTATGCTAGAAATGAATTATGCTAAAGAAAATACATGTATATTTGTATTTCTTAATTTTTAGTAATTTTGTTGTCAATATACTACAAAAATAATTCAATAAAACATTAAAAATACCACTAGTTGGAATGAAATCAACCAATGAAACTGATTATCAGCAGATTCAGAATTGAAAATCAAAGAATAGGTAGTATAATGCATATGGAACTCATAACCACAATAACTGGAAATGGCCTCTAACTAACATGGTCAGGTTTTATAGGATTAGATAGATTCCTGAAAGAGAAGTAGCAATGGCTGTTCACCACAATAACTAAATAGAAATATAATACTCAGAGGCAGGGTACCCTTGGGGATAAGTAACAGCTGAAAAGCTTCTATGCCCTTCTTGGGAGCTTCCAGAGGCAACTGGCCAGCCACCCTTGGACTGATCCAACATAAACAGTTTGCATATTTTAATTTCCAGTCATGTTCCTCTGTTGCATCAAGAACAATGGAAAGACTTACGACACCTTAAGCCTAACAAATATATTGTGGCACAAGGCAGTGACTATGACAATCATTTGCCCTTCACAACACTTATTGAGTGATAAGAGAAAGCATTGTATTATGTTTTAACATAACCCTTTCTGACTCTCCCAGAAGCTAAAATTCATTGCAAATCATTGAGAATGAGAAAGAAACCAGAAAGGGCAGAAGGCATTTTGCAACACCCAGTTTATCGAAAGAGTTTGCACTGGGGGTCATACCAACCGTAGTTCCCTCCTCCTAAGGGCTGAATATGCTAATAGGGACTGCCAGGCGGCTTTGGGAGATTTTTTCTTTTGGCTGCAGTCAGGAGTTGTGAAAGGGAGGGTGGAGAGATGGGGCTTAACTTTTTAACCTCCAGCCACTCTTAAACCTTTCATGTCTTTGCAGGGAAAATATACAGCCCCCCCCCCACCCCGCAACATTTCCTCTGCAAAGAGAAGCAGCTTGAAGTGAGCAATTTTGACAGGAAAGAGTATAGGCAGAGAGAGGGCAAGCTCCTCCTTTCTATGCAGCCCTGCTCTGCTTTGCTTGCAGCTTCCCATGCCACTTTTAATTTTCAAAAAGACTAGGAAAAATTATAGGCAACTCCATGTCACATAATACTTTAGACCTTAGGAACTGCCTAATATCTCTTGAGTTTTAAGTTTGTATGCTTTGAAGAGATCTCACTGCCTTTTTTCAAACCACAGTGTAAACCTGTTAGATTTTGCAACACAGCAAATGGTAAAGTCAAGTGGAAGGATTTGCTCTGGGGAGAACTCCACCACTTCCTATCTGTCTCAAATACAAAATCTCCCGTTTGCAGACTGTGCTTTGAGGATGTCTATTCTGGGATATTTCCCTGATTCTTGAAAGCTTACCATTGAAGACAAACAATTTGTAACTCAAAAACTTGTGTTTTGTAAATTGGGGTGAATCACACAAAGAGCTTTGGATATTCAACAGTACAGAAATGAAATAAATAAAAATAATACTCATGCAGATGTTGTTCAATTTAGTCATATTGCAGATATAAACCATACATTTTTTCTGTGGGGCTGATACAACTGGGAGCCTGTGTGGCACAGCTATTGGAATATTGGAATGGTGCTTGGGAGATCTGGATTATTTATTTGTTTATTTATTCAATTTATATGCTGCACTACTGGCCATAGACTCTCTGGTGTTAGAAACACTCTTTTCTTTCCGTAAGAAGAGAAAAGAAAAAAAATACTCCAGGCATGCAGAGAATTCTAAAAAAAAAAAAAACCCCCACAAAACTTTATTGCAATAAAGGAAGCCATTAGATTTCTGTCCCTTCTCCGGCTTCCTGAGCACATGGTTGTCTTCCAAATTTAAACCCTTTCCCTGTTGCTCTGTCCCTCCTCCTTGCCCCTCATTGGCTAGGGTACTGGGAGTTTTCGTACAATCTTTCCGCTCACCTACTCCGCACTGCCCTTCTTTCCCCCTTCAGCCCTCCCTGGTGAGCTACAATAGGCTCATTTTGTCCTGCCAAGCTTGTCAATTAACAATTAGGAAGTCATTGAGTCAGTATTTGGCCATTTTGTCTATGTGCTGGTTTTCTTGCACGCTATACGCCCTCCCTTCTTCTTGACGAAAAGGGGCTTCCTTTCCCCCTTTTTTTTTCTT